GTTTCTTCTGCCCTTTGAAGCTTCGCAAGATCATGCTCTGTTTGCTGACATTGTCTTGATACTATATTTTCCATATTTTCACAGTTCCAGATTTCAGTAGTGAAAACAAAAAGTTAACCATATGTTGACTTCAATCATTAACATTTTTTCATTACGATATTCCATAATTGACTACAGCTTTGTTTGTACCTGAGTAACAACTGCTGCCTGGATTAATTCCAGATTTTCAGCTCAGAATTAGAAGTGTGTCAAAAGAAAATGTAGCCCTCTGGTCACTGTTGATGGTCTTTTTATAATTTTTTTTCTTTTGGAGGGTCAAATAGAGAAATGATAGATTTTATCCCTCTTAGATATGCTTTCGATAACAATTATGCTTCATTTCCTGTACAAGAACTGATCAGATGTCCATGATTTTAAAAATACATTTTGAACATTAGTTCATTTTCCTACAAATTTTGTTCAAAAGTCCTGACTGCCCCTAAAATAGATATTCAAAGTTTCCACTGTACCCTAAACATCACTGACAAGACTCACTGTATATATTACATCTACTGTAAAATAAATATGGGGGTCCAATTGGTCAAAAGTTAATATTGTTAATATCAGTAGTGCTTAAACTAGGTGCTGAAAACTTCTAAGGGTGTGAAATTCTAGGAGAATGTCAAATCACATATCCTCATCTCTTACCTGGTCACTTAGTTTAGAAAAGAGTCTGAGTAAAATCATTTCAGCTCTCCTTTGTCTCATTACTTTTTAGTTGTAATTTTTTGAAGAGGTACAGGGTGTTTTATGTATCTGTAAGACCATCATCATTTAATGTTTCTTTATGCTAACATAGAATTATTCGTTACATGAGTCCTGTAAGTTTTTGATTTTCTTGTTTGAACTGGTTACATCTAATAATGCCCTCTTGTTGACCAGGGGAGTATTGAAAAGGTTAGTCTCTGGAAGGATTGGAATAAAATCTTCAAACTATCAGAATATGCAGCTGTGGAATTATGTACATATGAGGGAACATCAGAGACATCTGTTTCTCATCAAATCTTTGCCTGACTTTGGATGGTTCTCCTTAGTAATTTTTCTAATTTATGGTTACAGTTGTCCACACTATGTAAGCTGCTAATGTCAGCATTCTGACTACAGAAGCCTCATGCTTTTAACAACTCTGACAGAGATTTTCACTGCTCAAGCACTAAACTGTACTAATCTGTGAGATAATAAAATGTGCTAAATGGTACACAGCATGATATATTTGCATAATTCTTTGAAATGCTTCATGTCTCTTAAAAATCTTAATGGAAAACTTCTCATTTCCTCTTGTTAGGGTTTTTGCCTGGTTTGTATTATGTTCAGAAACTGCAGTTTCCTTACAAAGATCTTCGGGGCCTATTTGGGGACTCCTGCGCCATTGAAGAAAGCACTATTACAAAGAGCTTCACAGGCTTCTAAGAGTAAAAATACAAGATGGGACACAAGTCTCCTAGTCATTAGATGATTCTGAAACCATGGTTCAGTAGCTTCTGAATTTATGACATTGAAATGACCAAGAGTCATAGTCTTTACCATCTATGTTGAATAGGCCCTGTGCTTATATAGCATTGTAAGCATCAGTGATTTGTTTCTAAGTTTACTAATTTAATATCTCTAAACTGAAATAGCCCATGCATCTTCGAGCAAAACAATAATAATAATACACTAGGAGGAAACTATACTAGTAGGAACATATACTACGTACATATTCTATGTACAAAATATAATCAATATGTAATTGTGGATCCTGGAATAAAGCTGCTTTCATTTTAATGTTGTGTATTGCCAAGAACTGAGTAGAAAATTTTTGTGAATGCACCTTATTTTTCAAGTGTTTTTCTGTCAATCACAGTAAAGCATAGTATCTTATCGATTTCTTTAATTGAACCCAATCGTCTCAGCACATAAATTCTGAAAATTATTTCAGAAAATAGGTATCAACTATGCACTGTTAAAAACTGATCGAAGATCAAGAATTCTTTAATAATGATTTTTCTTATCTTCACATAGTATTTTAAAACTTCTTCAGTGGGAGAATAAGGTAGTGATTCTCTAAGTCCAAATATTTTATGAAAGTATTTTCAATGGGATTTATGATAATCTTGATATATTAATTTTAGTTTATGGTAGAGATGATCTCTATAGAATTGATCTAAATATAGATTCTATATTTTGAGAAACAGATATAATCATAACAAAAGTTATTCTGTCTCAGGGAAAATATATTATTTCAACCACAAACTTTATTAGTTTTATAAATTAATACATGATAATTTTATAAATTAATACAAAACAACCATGAGCAATTAAAAATTGTTTTTATAAAAGAGAATGTGCATTTATTTCATAATAAAAATTTTGCTATCTCTTATTGTGGGCTGGAGCGATAGCACAGCGGGTAGGGCGTTCGCCTTACAAGCGGCCAACATGGCCGACCCGACTTCGATTCCTCCGCCCCTCTCGGAGAGCCCGGCAAGCTACCGAGAGTATTCGATATGCCAGACACAGTAACAACAAAGTCTCCAATGGAGACGTTACTGGGCCCGCTCGAGCAAATCGACGATCAACGGGAGGGCCTTTACCTTTTACCTTACCTTATTGTGTTTATACTTTTATCTAAAAGTTTGTTAATTGCTTAAATTCTGAGAGTAAAGGCATTATGGTGTCTAATAATTGATTTTTATCAACTAGCCTATTAGAAAACTGATAATCTCACTAAATAGTTACACTATTATAGAATTTATTATAAATCTATTTGGAGTCAAAGGGTTAAAATTTCCCTAACAGTTGCACATTTTCTAGTAATCTCTAAATGTCTCAATATCTTAAAAGCAAATAAAAAAATTAAAGCAATTGGAACTTATTGTAGTACAGTCTAAACTATTACCTAGAAATACATTTATAAATGTCATTTAAGTTTGTATCTTTATTATCGTTGTTTTTATTCCTTTGAAACATTATCTTTTCATGGTCTTATAATCTTACTGTAATAAAATGAAAAATAAACATTGTCTGAGACAAGACATATCTCAAGGTCTGTGTTATTAATCAATTATTTCTCTTTAAAGTATAAGTCCTAGGTCGCATGCCAGAGTTACTTAAATGCATGTCATTGATTGTCATGATGAACTTCTAAGTTATTGTTAAACCTTAATTGTGCCAAAGCAATGATATTGAACAGCCACACTTTTACATTAACTTTTGTTTTTGAAATCCATAGTTTGCTCTTAAATGCCTGTTTTCTTATAATTGTATTTACATGGTTCATTATTACCATTAAAACTAAGCTTTTTAATTTGTTATTTTAAAGCCTAACTAGAATTAAGTAAGTCTAGAGATTTCTCCTAAGATTTGAATTATCTCTGTATTTTAAGACATTAGACAAATTTAATAGAGCATTGTTAAATGTCTTTAAAAATTCTAATTTATTATGTGTGATGACTAGTGATAATTAACAATTGAACTTTCTTTTACCCAATTAATACATGTGTCAATCATTACTAATCAGTTATCTTTCAGCTAGCGTGGCATTTAGCAAGGTATCCCAGGCTCAGCACCTGTTTTTGTTAAAAACAGCCAGACCTAGTTATTTAGGAATTGTTTATGGCTCCTTGTTTACTACATATATTTATTGAGTTGTTGCCACAGAAGCTACCTGACCTTCAAGGACCAAAACATTAACTATATTATTCCTTATTAACCTTTCTTTATTTCTTTCTTAAGATTTATTTTTATGATGGTAAATTAAGGTAACTTCATAAACATAAACCATTGTAAACAAATAATCTAAACTCTAATGACAAATTTTTTAAAAAAAAGTGATAGAGAATTGTAGGCACTTTGATGGTGATGTAATGACATTATATATCAGTGAAAAGTATTAATGTTACTGTAATCATGTAATATAAACTTTAATAATAATGATAATAATAATGAAAACTTTATTCTTCCTACATTTTGTAGTTAGCTGTGGTTTCTAGTTAATGGTATTTGAGTGGAACTAAGGCTTGACTAGGAACATATCAGAAAAAGAGGTTACCAAACTGCTGACTTTCTGTAGTTGCTTAATAGTGAATATAGTAAATAGTAAGTGGTTGAAGTTACTTCCATATATTTAATTAAAAAAAATAAAACTTCCAGGTAAATGATCACCACAGTTCATTACAAAATTCTTTGTAAATAATTTATACTAACTTGTAAATGACATAATTATTACAAGCAAATGAACGTTTAAAATTCAAAAATCTACTTAAACATAACTTATGCCAAGAAAATATTAGATGTCATTATCAAACAAAGTAACGATTGTTTACTATTTTCCCTTCAGTCTGTCACAAATGTAGTAGTTGTATAGTCATTAAATTGATATTTTGTACTTCCCCCGGAATTTAAAAAATGCTTTGACATTTTAACAAAAAGGCTCAGATTTCTAGTGATTATATTTTATATTAAGTCACAGTATTAACTAGTTTATAGGAATATAGGATTCTATTTTACTGGAGTCTAGAAAAAGAATTTATAAGTGAGAGTATGCACTGCACATAAAAGTAACATTATTTCAAAATTCTCCAACAAGAGAGAGAAAAGCACAATATTTTGGAATTCACATTCCCCTTTCCAATTTACTCTATATTTCTATATCCCTGCTACATCAAGAGAATAGAGATGTTATTCATATTTTGCTGTAATGACACTTTATGGTCTTCAAGACTACAGAGTGATTTAAGATACACTAAAGAATTTGTAAAATGTATGTCTTCTTTTCTTTTCTTGGCAGAAAACAGTTTCACTCCTTTATTACAACCTATTGTGTCAACAATATCTGATTTTTTTTATTTGATCAACAACTTGATTGAAATGGCAAAAGCTGACCCTCACTCCCTAACCGACAGGAACTCTAGGCATCTTGTGGACAGCAGAAGGGGCAGAGGTCAGAGGTTGTGGGCAGCACTCAAGGTGTCACAGTGACTTCTTTTTGAGACCCAGTTCTCAACACCTAACATGAGAGATGGGGCAATGAGCTGACGCCCCACTGGCTGTAGGTGGGGAATCTCATCCATGGCTACTGCCAAAGCCAAGGATTTTTTTTAACTGACAGCATTATATTTTTTAGTTTTTTGTAAGTTGAATTATTGTTTTGTTATAAAGACTGATTTACAAAGCTATTAATAGTTACAAAGCAATTAATCACCCTACAAGGGTGATTAGAGGTCGCCCCAAAAGCCTCTATCCCTCTTGGAAAGACTGGCAAGCTACCGAGAGTATTCCGCCCGCACGGAAGAGCCTGGCAAGATATCCGCTGTGTATTCGATATGCCAAAACCAGTAACTACAACTGATCTCATTCACCTGACCCTGAAGGCTTCACCGACATGGCAGCACTGAGAAGGATGAGAAAGGAGAGGCCGACAAAATCTCAAGGCCAACGTAGGCTGCCAGAATGAAGGAAGACAAAAATGATCGTCTGTACTTTCAATGCACGTACGCTAGCATCAGATGCATCCATCGAGGACCTGATGGTACAAGCGCGAACGATCAAGTACGACATCATTGGTCTGACAGAGACAAGAAGGCACGAATCTCACCATGCCGTTTTCGACACTGGAGAAGAATTGTTCCTCGGAACATGCGATAAAAGAGGTGTTGGAGGCGTCGGTGTCCTTGTCAACACAAACTTGGCCAAGAGCATTGATTCATTCGAATGCCTAACAACCCGAATTGGACGTTTACATTTGAATAGATGTAGCTCACTGCCTGCAGTTTCTATCTTCGTTGTCTATGCACCAACATCTCATTATGATGAAAGAGAAATCGAGAAGTTCTACATGGAGCTAGAGAAGTTCTATAAAGAAGACCACACCTTCTACAAGATCATTGTGGGTGATTTTAATGCCAAAATAGGACCAAGAAGATCAGCTGAAGAACTTCACATCGGGACCCATGGCCTAGAATGGAACGAACAGGGTGAGAGACTGTCTGAGTTCATCATGTCGACCAAAACCATTCATGGTAACTCACAGTTCCAGAAGGCAGAATCTAAACGATGGACATGGGAGTCTCCCGGTGGACGATTCCACAACGAAATAGACCACATCATACTCAATCGACGGTTTTGCCTGACTGATGTCGCTGTTGTCCCAAAATTTCGAACGGGATCGGACCACCGTCTCCTTCGTGCAAAATTCTACTTCACAGAGCGGGGAGAAAGGGCTGCAAAGTTCAAAAAGAGAACTCCCAGAATGACCACCAACTGGGAACTCTTTGGTACTATTGCGGCAACATGGGACGATGCCATTGTTGACAACATTGAGGAGGAATACGATCTACTGGTTCAGCACCTCCATGAATGTGCGAGGAATGCCAAGAGAGAGATAGCCACAAAAAGTCGCCTATCTTCGAAAACTCTTGAGCTAATTCGCCAGCGTGGTTTGGCGCATGCCTCAGGCAACCGCAAGCTTACGTCCGAGCTTGCAAAGCAGTGCAGAGATGCGATCAAGGAAGACCTCAAAGAGAGAAGAGCAGAAGTACTGGTAGATGCGGCAGAAGCCGGGAAAAGTATTCGTAACGCCCACCTGTCCTTCGCCAACTATAAGACCAAGATGACTGCCCTCCGACGTCCTGATGGATCCATCACATCCTCCAGAACGGCAATGGAGAAGATTATCCATGACTTCTACTCAAATCTCTTCGATAGCCATGTCCACTTGCCGACATACCAAATTCCACAGGATGGGTATGTCGTTCCCAACGTTCTCCCTTCTGAAATCTGACACGCCATTTCGTCGGTAAAGAAAAAAAAAGCACCCGGCCCAGACAAGGTCAGACCTGAACACCTGAAGAACCTGCCGTCAGTACTCATCAATACACTGGCTCCGCTCTTCACTCGCTACCTGTCTGAATGCAAGGTTCCGTCCCAATGGAAAACCAGCAGGACCGTACTACTGTTCAAGAAGGGAGACATCCATGACATTGGCAACTATCGCCCGATCTGCCTATTGTCTGTCATCTCCAAGTTGTTCACTCGATTCATCCTGAATAGGATTGGCAGAACACTAGATGAAGGATAACCATGTGAGCAAGCCAGGTTCCGCAAAGGATTCAGCACCATCGACCATATCCACACGATAACCAAGCTCATTGAGGTTTCTCGGGAGTTCAAGATGCCGCTCTGCTTAATGTTCATTGATTTAAAGAAGGCCTTTGATTCTGTTGAGACGGAAGCGGTCACTGAAGCCCTAGCCAATCAGGGCATTCAAGCCCAATACATCAGGATCCTCCGTGAGCTGTATTGCGGATTCACTACCAGGATCTCACCATTCTACAAAGAAGTGATCGTTGATGTCAAGAGAGGGGTGCGGCAGGGTGATACCATTTCACCGAAACTCTTCAGTGCCACCCTCGAGAACATCATGCGACGACTGGAATGGGAAGGAATGGGAGTGAAGATAGATGGTCGGCAATTACACCACCTCCGCTTTGCTGATGATATTGTTTTAATAACACCAAACATCAGCCAAGCGGCACAAATGCTGGCCGACTTTGACCGTGAGTGTGGAAAGGTAGGACTACAGCTGAATCTTACGAAGACAATGTTTATGAGAAACAGCCTTGTTCCTGACGCCCCATTCGCTCTCAATGGAACGACCATCTCTGAATGCAACAGCTATGTCTACCTAGGTCGAGAGCTCAACATGATAAATGACCTGGCACCCGAGCTGCGCAGGAGGAAGAGAGCGGCTTGGAACGCCTTCAAGAACGTCGAAGAAATAGCTAAGAGGACGAAGAACCTCCGGCTCCGGGCACATCTCTTTGATTCCACTGTTCTTCCTGCATTAACATATGCCTCAAAGACCTGGGCCCTACGCAAACAAGATGAGAACGCCATTCAGGTCTCCCAAAGAAGAATAGAAAGAGCTATGCTCGGAATATCACGTTTCACTCAAATGAGAGAACGAATCCGGAGTTCTGACATCCGTCGACGATCAAGGATCAGGGACGCTGTCTCATTTGCCAAGGTGTCGAAAATCAGATGGGCTGGTCACGTAATGAGATTTAAAGACGACCGTTGGACTAGAGCTGTTACTGATTGGATTCCACGGGATGTCAAGAGACCGCGTGGCCGCCCACCTACCAGATGGTCAGACTTCTTCGTCAAGATCATGAACGATCGGTTTGAGGCCGTTCATGTTCCCGGAGCGAACAGATGCCATTGGGCTACACTAGCACGCGACAGGGACAAATGGAGACGTTACTGGCGCCCGCTCGAGCAAATCAACGACTAACGGGAAGTTAAGTGATTAAGTGATACTAAACCATGAAATGTAGTTTAAACATCTCTCCAATATCCTATGGCCTTAATATTACATACCTCAAGTCTGTTCTTTGTATTTAAAAATATAGTTTTATAAAAATTCCGAATTATTTTATGACTTTAATTTGTCCTTTTTTTCCAATTTTTTTCTTGTCATTCCAACTTTCACTTATGTTTTCCATTTTGTTTGCATGGACTACCTGTCAGATGACAGAAGCATAAGGGGTGTTCAGAGCAAAACATTTTTCTAAGAACTCATCAAGAATATAAAATAGTAAAAAGGATTTTCCATACATATAAAATTTATATAGTTATATAAATTATATATAATTAAAAATATCACTGTCACTGTCCTCCCGTGGTTCATCAATTTGCTTGAGCAGGCACCAGTAACGTCTCCATTGTGACAATTGTTACTGTGTTTGGCATATAAAATTCATTACAGGTAGCTTGCCAGGCTTTGCCGTGTGGGCAAGATACTCTCGGTAGCTTGCCGGGATCTCCGAGAGGAACGGAGGAATCGAACTCTGGTCGGCCATGTTGGCCATTTGTAAGACAAACTCCCTACCTGCTGTGCTATCGCTCCAGCCCAATTAAAATATATATGTATATATAACTTTGACACGGGATAACTAGAAAGTCATCAGGTATTCCCTATTATAAAATAATATTTGATATAGATCCTAAGACCTTATTGTTATTAACAGCTCTAAAAGATAAAAATTACAAAATAGACAACAGGAAAAAATAATTACCCTAAAATATACCTAAAAATATAGCAAAGATGTTTGAAAAGAAGCTTGAAGATTATTGCATTTCTATGCTAGTCACATATTTGAATAATATGTATTTTTCTTCAAATGTTACTCGAACTTAGATTAAAGTCTATTATGAGGTATTAATTTTACAGTTTCAGAGGTTGCTCATTAAACATTTCATAATGTAATATAAAGCTGATGAGTCATTATAAAAATGGTTTTAACATTATAATTAGTCAACCAAAAATATTAGGACGGATTAGAAAATACTATATAAAAATTTAAAATATAAACTGCAAGCAATTTCATCTTATATTCAGTTTCACAGCAAAAAATAAAAACCAAGCATCTATTTTCAATAGCGTAGACAGAAATAATACAATTTAAAATGTAAAAATACCAGTTTAAGTCTTCTACAGTATATTTTGAGACATTGCTTAAAGATGATATTTTACTTATTTTAAACTTAAAATATTCTCCCTTCTAAGTTGATTCCAATATTTATTTTCCCCAATTTTAAAATTAACCAATGTTTTCTTAAAGTGAAGTTTTCAAATTTAATTTAATATAAAATGCAAATTTAAGTTTTCAATTTTTTAGAAGCAACTATTCAAGTCTCATAATTCTTCCAAGATTTGCTCTCAAAATATTGTATTTTAAAAGCAAATAAAGCACATAAACTTGTTCAAACTCTCTGAATATTTGAGCCTGCAACTGTGGTAAAGCCTTTATCTAAAACCAATGAACTTTTCAGGGCTGTTCAGAAATGACCAGAGGGGCCAATTAACAGTTGCACAATTGGAATCTTCCTGACGCTTTGTCAATAATTTATAAAATAGAGAGGGCAGAAGGGTCACTATCACTGAGGGGAAGTTAAAATTAAAATGTTTCTCTTACATATTCTGCTCTAGAAAGACAAGGATACGTTTTGATGTGAAGTAGGCAGAATTTTTGTTTTATGGAAGGTTAATAATTACGCAGTAGACTTAATCTGCCTTTTATACTGTCTTCCTTACATATCTCAGATT